ATTTTTTATTATAGAAACAAATAACATTAAAAAAACAGTAAAAAACCTACATTTTTAGGAAAAAATCATGATACCTCTATAAAATATCATGTATAAAAAAAATACTATTCACTTAATTCAAAAAACTTTTCCAACAAAATGTTAATAATATTCATAAATATATAGCATTAAATTCTCAGGTCAATAGAATGAAAATTCATTACGCTGGAACAGTTTGAAATTTGTAAATTTGTCAAAAAAGACATTTTGAGAAAAATGACTTTTACTACTTTTTCATTGCAAATTTTACTTCTGAACAAATATTTCTTGTTTTTGATATAAATATCTATAAATATTGTCTAATGAGCTAGTTTAATAATTATATACTTTAAATTTTTTTAAAAAAATTAACAAAATATTCAACTAATTTTAAACTAAACTAATTTTAACTAATTTTAAGCAGGCAAAAAAAGGTAAACAAAGGGGTGTGGTCAAAACTGAAATGGCCATAACTTCATAAATTTTGCTCTTATTCCAGAATTTTTTTTTTAAATGTTCAGTTAAATGCCTAGATTTCAAAAATATAAAATGCAAAATATCGATTTTTTGACAAATTTTTGTTTCTTTGAAAGTTCTTTGTCGCCTTAAGAAATAAGCAAAAACATATCGCTGTAGTTGCGTAAAAAGTAAGAAACGAAATAAACTTTTGCAAAAAATCATCACTTTATAAAATGTTATCATAGCACTTTCTTCAAGTGAAGCATTGCAATAACTGTAACTGTCTTGGATACAGAATCTTAGTAGCAATTTGAGGAAATAAATACTTCATATAGATTGGGGAAAGGTAAAATTATTTCCTCTATGAGAATTTTAGAAATATTTAATTACGAACTTCATTGGAATTGTGTTAAAGTTACCCATGATAATAAAAATACTCAAATTTTTACATTTTCGATTTCAGTTGTATATTCGATTATTGGAAATTCCCATGAGTACAAAATTTAAAACAATATCCACTCATAAAGTATATGCTTTCTTATAATTATCCACTTTTTAAACAAGGAGGTGATATTTAAATTGTCCCTGCTTAGAACAAAACCAATCAGGGAAACCTTATAGTTATGTAATATGGAACATGGGGAAAAAAACTAATTCGCAAATTTCAACCACCATTTGGGAAAAAAAAATTGGAAAATGCAGCGAAAAACATAAACTGAAGACACAAAACTTTATTAAATCACAGCATATGTTCAATATGCATTCTTTTTTGTTTAAAAAACACGTTCGAAGCACGTGTTAGCGAATTCAACCGTAGGTAGAGAGATTATTTGATTTATAGCAGCTATGCACAATCATAGTACTGGGCGAAATTCAAAAATTTTTCTACTAGCCAGTGGTCTGTAGTCGCACTTTAAACTGTGGTCCCTTTTTTAAAAATTGAAAATTTAAAATTATTATAATATTTTAATTTATTATAATATTTCAAATTAATAATTAAAGACGCATCTTTTGAAGCTTTTATCAAAACACGATGATGAATTTTAATAAACAAGTGTGAAATAAAATAATTTTCAGAAAAATATAGCATATTCATTTTATTTGCTTAATTATTAAAAAAAAAAAAGAAGAAAAGAATGGAATGATGAAAGAGTGATGATCAGATGGCGACTGGCAGACAATTTTTCAATTGCCATTTTGCTATCTTTAGAAACCCTGCAGACGGTGGAGACTGTTTTTTTTAAAAAAAAAATTAATTATAGCCTAATATGAATGAGTGTTGTGCCTACATTAAATTCAATTTCATTTGAAAGTTTTGCATTACACCACTAACACACCAGTTGCTTCAAATTTAATGTTCATTTTTTTAAGTTAAAGCCTTTTTTCTGTAATGACATGGGACAGGATGAATTTTCACCCATGTTATTCCACTCATTCCAATTGAGTCATGATGGCTCAGGGGATAGAGCGTTCGCCTTCTAATGAGGTGAACCGGTTTCGAATCCCAGCAATGGTTTATTGATAAGAATTCCGCATCCGGCTTGTACCGACGGTAGTGCTGACGAGAAATATCCTCAGTGGTAGATGGATCAAGAGTTAGAGTCCCCTTGCCGTCAGGCTAACGGTGAGAGGTTCTCGTAGTCTTCCACTCCATGTAACTCAAATGAGGGTTAGTTCCATCAAAAGTCCTCCACGAAGACAAATTTCTCCTAATATTTGATCCAGGAGTTTCTTTGTCTTCTGGATTGGGTTCAAAATAAAATCATTCCAATTCAATTCCGATTTTTATTTATGAAATAAGATGCTACTAATTAAAACGTAAATTTAAATATTTAATTTAACAAATATAAACTAACGCTTTTTTTAAAAACTATGAGTTCTGTTTGCTAGTTATAGTTAGCTAGGTAGTTAGTTACTACCTTCTTCGTGAATTTCTTTCTTGTTCTTGAATTAAAAGCCTCGAAAGAAAAAAGTATTTTTGACTTTCTGTTTCAGATGGCATGGGCGCACACATATAAGGTGGGATGTGGATATGTTTCATTTAGGCCAGCTCAGGGAATATCGCAACAGATATATGTGTGCAACTATTCGCCAGCGTAAGTATTATAAGATCAAAAAGAAATATTAAATGGTTTTCGAATTAGTGTGTGTATAGACTACTCCATAAAACAATTTGATACTTTTTCAAACGAAATAACGAAAATAAAGTATGTATTTTTAAGAAAAATCCTGCTGAAAACGAATTTCTAGAGGCAGAACTTTCCAATGGAAACTATTTATTTATGTAAGCATTCAAGTTTGTAAATAAATGACGCTGCGAAAGTTGCCGCTGATTTGAATTAAAAAAGGGGAAATATTAGGAAATTACGTTAAAACATTTTGAAAATATTTTTCTTCAGCTACATAAATGTTTATTGGAATCCAACATGGAGGGAAGCCCAAATTCAAACATACATAGCAATTTTTAAATATATACTTAATATCATCACATAATTATTTGTGTCGTTTACTTTGACTCAATTATGAAGATATTAATCTATAAAACTTGTTTTCTATTATGGAAATCTCGCCAACTGCTCTTTGCTGAGCGTTAAATCGCATTCATTGGCATCAAGTTTGGTTCCCAAAAACTTAATAAAACAAAATACATCTACTAAACTACAATTTGGCACTTGCAACTCGATGCCACCATAATGATGCATAATACAAAATGTTTTCATGCACTGTATACTATTTTCATGATGTGTGGGTTAGGCACCCAATTAGTTTTAAATAAAGAAAGAAAGACTTGCAACTCGAGAAGAAGACTGCTGAAATAAAATCACACGGTTATGTATGGAGTCTTATGGGAACGCCTTACCAATTGATTCAACTAGTCTTTTACCTCCATAACGAGCAAGCCATGAAATTTCAAATACTAAAGAGAAATTTTTAAAATATCTAAATGAAAATAAGTTACGAGAAGACATCTTAAGATTACGGTACGGAGAAGTTCTCTTCCTATAATTTGCTTGCATTTTGATATTTTGAAATTTTTTTCCAACAATTAAATTTTGCTTACTCTAGGTTTCTTTGAAGAAAGCGCGAGAATCTGCGATAAAAAGTTTCTCCCGAGGTATGGTGTCCTCTTAATGTTATAGCTGTTAGGCTAGGGTTGTAATTCATCTGAATCAATTTTCGGATCAGATTTAATTGGATGCTTGCAAGCGATGTCAAGCATGGTTGTCGACATAAACAAATGACGCGATTAACTCTCTTAACGTCACTTACCATCATTCAATATTTACTTTTATTTATTTTTATATTAATTTACTTTTTGTACCGGGAATGCAAATTTTTATAAGAAATAAATGGTTAAAATATATTTTTTTAAATGCTCAATTTATTTGTACTAGTGGGCTGTACCCCCTGCTCGCTAACGCTCGCCAACCCCTGAAAATTGCTACGCAATCTTATATCGCAAACCAAGCTCGCTTCGCTCGCTACTAACTCAGGTACATTGCAAATGCACAAAATTCCAAGAATTCAAAACATTCATTCAAATCCATAGAACAACTTTTTTTTTAAAAAAAAAAAGTACATATTTTTAGTAAATACTAAGTCATTAAAATAAATTTGAATTCAAATAAATGACATGTAATTCGTTAAGCCTATTAGAAATGTGCTATAGTATAAAATCGTAAGATAACATTTCTAAAACTGATATCTCTTTAAAAAGGTTAAAATTTTGATTATAATTAAGTCTATTAAAAATTGAAATAAGTTAATTGCAATGGAAAAACCTGCATAAACAAATAAATTCTAGTAAAACAAATAAATTCGTGATATAAATAAAAAATTGTCAAATAAATTCGTAATACATAAATTCGTGAAAAAAAAAA